AGCATGTGTGCACAATTGCTTTGAATACGTTCAAAACAGAATTATGTACCATGCGCCGTAATTTTTCGCCGCTCTGTACAATGACTGAGGTCGAGCTTGCACAAAAATCACTTGCTACTTCTATCCTTTCTCTACAAGTATGGTACCAACTAACCAGCTCCGGAGGAAAACAAGACCTGTATGGCCCCGATGGGGTTCGATCTGAGATCTGACCCCCAGATCGGTGCATGTGGTAAAGTGAAACGTTTCCAAGCAGTTTGAACTCATGGTTTCTGAGCTGTTCAAACTGATGTTTTTGGTATATTACGAACGGGAAGCATTCCTTCCCACACAGTTCTCCCACTCCCCCCCCCTAAACACAGCAGCAGTTCCCTGTTACGTTGCGCTTATTCACTCCTTATCTCGTCACACGACTAGCAACGGCAAAAATTTCAAGTATGCCAGATAATGAACACATAAACATCACAGAGTGGTGACCTCCAGCACCAGGTCAGAAGGCAACCAGAAAGACGGAGGCGAAGAACGTTAAACTTATGACAGAACAACTAGGTTACCTTTTCATCGGATTCCAACTTCACTGAAGATGAAACTCGACTTATGCGCTCATCCTCCATCACTAAAATGAGCATTTCTTCAGAATATGAGTAACCTCATACGCTAACACGTTCATAAGCCCCTTTCTGAAGGAGAACTGCGATTTTTGCCACTTTTAATCCCGAAGACTTCTCGAGCAGAACTATTTTTTCCCAAGAATTCCGTTTCTCGTGCTATTCTCAACATCATAAGGGCAAAGTCCACAAGGTCATGTCAACAACGTTGAAAACATTGTAATGTAACTAAGCTAGCTCGTCAGGGAAAACAACAACATTACACCAGTAATGTACTTTTCATAACCATCTGAGAACCACTTTAAAACAATAATTGGCACTATTTACCCTTTACTGCCCCAGTCATCCGAAATCAGGCCAGTTCCTGACCGACTTTTTTCTCCGTGGGCAGATTTTGCTCAAATGTTGTCTCCTGGGGTAGTTTGACCTCCAGAATACGAATATCACATTCGCTCAGCCCGAAACTTCCTGGCGCCCGCGCCACAGGCGCCAATGATTTGGGGTATTTTGGCGCCGGTGCCCGTGGTGCGGGCGCCAGGAGGTTTCGGGTCAAGCGGATGCGATATTCGTGTTCAGCGGGTCGAACTACCCCTGGAGCCAAGTTTTCAGCAAATTCTGCCCACGGAGAAAAAAGTCGGTCAGGAACTGGCCTGATTTCGGATGGCTGGGGGGGGGGGCAGTAAAGGGTAAATAGTGCCTCAGAATTCTGCATTCTCACAGTAAAGTACGTTAGAGGAAGCTGTCCGCCAGGACAACTCACCTCCATCCCTCCATTGTTGCAATCTCCTCTCCAACTGTACTCTCGTGTGACTTTCTCGATCCAACGCTTGACTGAGATCATGGGCCGCCTGAACCTCGTCGGCAAGTCGCTGCTCTAGCTCTTCAACCCGTCCCTGCTGTTGTGTCTTCTCCACACGAAGCTGATGTAGCTGCTGTTCCAGCGCCCGGATACGCTGTTCACATTCATGATGGGATGGATCACTTCTGAAAAAAAGTTATGGTGTTGCCAGGCGAACCGAGGGAACAGCCCAGCTCAGGTTCTCTTATAAGATCCGCATACTCCCATTTCTGAAATCAGCGTAGGCTTTTTTCTTATCGGTTTTGGTAAAAATCCGAAGCAAGGGGAAGACCTGACAGGGAAAAACAAGCTCTTTTTATTTCGTGACTTTACGGAAGGATATGGAATATTGCATGGTTACAATATAGAATACAATATAATGACCGCAGCTTACAAGATGCCGAGTTACCCCGCCTTTGTGAAAAGCACCGCCCATCTCAAGTACACCCTGCCCATTTCGGGTGTGTCTCCTCCATTTGCTCTGCCAACCCCAATGCTAACCTTATTCCAATTTTTCCCGTCTCCGAGCTGCTTTGTAGCTCGGAGACAGGAAAAAAGCTAAATTACGGGTTTTTTCAGTGACACGGAAAGCACCCATCTCAAGTACGCCCTGCCCATTTTAGGCGTGTCTCTTCTACTTGGTCGGTCAGCCCTTTGTTAACTTTATTGCACTGTTCCCCCACCTCGGGACTGCTCTGGAACCAAGTTATGATCTTAAGACATCGCCAACTTTCGGCGCACGCCCCGCCCACCATGGGCGGGCTTACCATGGGTCACGAGTGCTATTTACATTTTGTCCCATGCCCTACCCATCCCCACCATGACCCGACCCCTCCAAGTTCTTCTTCAGGTGCTATGAATTTCGTGACAGACAGACAGACGCACACACACACACGGACATAGCCGATTATATATAGTAGGATGATCGCTGGAAACGATTGGGCTTGTGAAGGGGACTGAGTCGGAGCGCAGACAGAACAGCCTTGCCGCCTGTTGTTGCGGACTCAAGAAGGCTCATTAGTGGAAAAGAACGCCTCGTCACACGCCCTATCGCTTGTAGGGATCATGAATATATTCATTTCTCCTTTTTAGGTTCACAACCTAGCAATTTCG